TTCTATTATGGATTATTTATTTTAATATCCTGGTTATATCCACTTAATATTTTATAATTCAAATTTATTTAAAGTATTTATATGCCGCCGGTTATATCCGTTTAATATTTTTTAAATCAAATTTATTTTTATATATCGGTATATTTAATTTTTTATAATTCATATTAATTTAAATTTGTATATTAGAAATAGTTATTAGTCCTAATAAATTTATGTTTGATATTTTTAAATAACAATAATTTTATTTAAAAAAATTTTAATTATCCCCCTCCCACACCAAATTCCTGCGTACGCTACTGTAGACTATGGAATTGCCTTTTTACTAAGGTCAGAGTCACACCACATAAGTAATATTCTTTCTCTATTTTATTCAGAACAAATCTATATATAAATTTGGAATGCAAACAAAATATAAAGAAATTAGAAATCAAATTTGGTTAAATTATAGTTGTCGTGAATAAAATTAGTTGAAATTGGTGGGGCATAAAGAGGTTTTTTTGATAAAGCGTTAATCCAATAATGAAAAAGGCTCAAGGCTCTTTTATAAACAAAGTACTTCCCAGCTACAGCAAGTCTGGGAAGTTCCAGTAACCTTTTTTTCTCCTAAAAGAGTGCATGAACAAGTAACTGGCATTATTATTATAGATTGCTAGCATTATTATAATCGTTGTATGAAAAGGAATGTTTACGAGCTATTTTAGCTCTATGTGAATTGGATGTTTGCCCATAATCTTCAAATTGAATTGCACTCTCTACATTTCTATCATGCTCTATAAGTTTTAAATGTCTAATTAAAAATTGCAATGTTGCAGAATTCGAATTTAATTAAGGGATGTGAACCTGTACCCTCTTGCTGAACCAGAACCCAAACACTTTTTAAAAGTTGAGGGTTCAAAGGTTCAAATTTTTTAAAATTCTAGTTAATAAATTTTAGCTTAAAATTTATAAAGTTGTGAAATTTTCACAATAAAAAAGGTAATTAATTATATTTTTCAAATTATAAGAAATGGGTAGTTATATTAATTAAATTAGGAAGTATTTAAAATAAATGGGAAGTATAAAAACATTTTGGTAAGAATTATAAATTTTAAAATTTATAAAACTTTAAAAAGACTTTAATGGAAGATTTTGGTCATGTTTCATAATTTTAGTTATAAAAATTTATAAATTTTGAGGGTTTTATAAAAATTAGTCTTAACCTAAAAAATGATGTAAAAGTAATTAGTGGAAAATATTTTATTTGCATTTTTCAAAATTTAAGTTTTTTGCATCTATTTTATAGGTAAAATTATTTAACAGAGTGTACCGATACCACCTTTTGGAGGCCAATCCAATCGGATATTAAATTAATATCGACCGATAAAAGATATAATATCATATCTGATTATTCTGTAAACAAAAACAACTAATCATTTTAATTTTTAATGTATACATCTAGTGTTGCAAAATCGTTCCATTTGAATTGATTTTTAAAAACGGCTAACTTACTATTTTATCCAGAAAAATATTACGCAAACCTGAGGATTTTGCTCATAGCTAATACAAAGTTTTGGACATCTATTAGCAAAATCTCGAGGCTTAACAATATTTTTTTGGCTAAAATATTGAGTTACCATTATTAAAATCAGCTCAAATGGAGCAATTTTGCATCACTAAATACATCTACTCATCTCATATAATTTTTAATAGTATAACATCTATAATTTAACTATGGGTAATTCCATGACAAATCGACCAGTGATTCGGCCAACCATCTCAAAAATGAATGAAACTTGGCATGTTAGTTATTTATGTTGTAAATGATAATAAAATCTAAATTTTAGAGCCCCAGCTCAACCAGATCCAAAGATATACGCCTTCAAAGTAGAGAATCGCGTAATGCGTGATTTCTTATATCATATTTTTCTTAAAAAATACTTAAGATAGAATTACAAATAATATATCACTTTATAGCCCTTAAAATCTTACATTGGAAAATATTGAAAAAAAGTTAAAAAATTTTAAGTGTTTTTGTATTTCCGGTAAAAATAAAAAATTAACATTCCTGGGAAGGGATTTTTTTTTGGTGTTGATACTCTCTAAAAATGTTTATTACCTTTATATTAAACTATTTAATGAAAAATCTCGATAGCCATTTTTGTTTTTTTAATTTTATTATTTTTGTAAATAAAAAAGGATAATATAGATGGCGTTATACTAAATTTATTAATAATATATTTTATATCGGTATTAAAATCAAAAAAAATCGATTAAGTATAACCAGTATGATGTCCTGGGGCAATAAATGAGGAAGCGGCCCATATAAAGATACTTTAAAATTATATTCAAGCTATTATAAAAATATATCTATTTATCGCAATCCATTTTGCGCTTAAATAGAAATTGTATATATTTCACACTTCTGGATCTACTATCGTTATTATTTGAAATTAAAGATTTTATCATCTTATTTTATTTTTCATTCCTTTCTTTCTATTAAATTTTTATATCGATAAATAGGAAATTTAATTATCAATCATGATTGAAAAGAACATAAGGATTAAAAAAATATTTCTTTTTTTTACTTCAAATTTTTTTTTAAATTTATAAAATTGTAATAATGAAATCACTGTGTAGTAATCCATTCATTAGAGAAGGCCATAAGTCTATTTCAAAAAATCTACAAAAGGTAAGTTTATTTATATTATGGATTAAAACCTTTTTAATTTTAGATTCTGGATTTTTTACTAATATAATATCTTTTTTATTATTGGATATCGGATTATTTTTATTATATATAAAATTAGGTTACATCAAAGATGATTAAAAAATCCAAAGGTTTATTAACAATAAGCCAATCATTATGTCACTCATGTCGCTTATATTTGATAAATATGGAATCCATTGAGGATATCTGAAAATGAAGAGCCCGAACTAGCCCCATCCAGTTCAACTTTGGATATAATAAATGTATCCCTAGAAGAAATAGGCCAATCCCCAATAAAAAAGAAAAGAATAGGAGAAAAGAAATATCCGCAAGAAAAACTTAAAAAAATAACAAAAGCATTAAGTCAAAACATATTAAGAAGCAGCCTTCCTGAGTTTGATATACAAAATAATAAAAATGACGAACTTCTTCAAAATTTAAAACATCATTATCCAATTATTTCTAAGGAAAAAAAATATCAACTTCTTACTATATTGCCCCCTTCTTGGACCTCTAAAAAAATTGAGAAGTTCAAAGCCACGAATTACTTGGTAATAAAATCAAAAAAACTAATAGAATTAAAAGGATTTATGTCATCTCCCAATATAAAACCTGGGCGAACAATTGATCAGGAAACCGTGAATATTATAGAAAAATTTTACTCTTCTGATGAAGTCAGTCGCGCGATGCCCGGGAAAAAAGATTATAAATCCATAATGATAAAGGGGAAAAGAGAGCAGTCTCAAAAAGATTAATTTTAAACAATTTAAAAGAATCATATGAACGATTTAAAGAGAGGTACCCAATAATTAAAGTTGGATTTTCTAAATTTGCAGATTTACGGCTAAAAAATTGTATTCTGGCTGGAGCCAGTGGAACACACAGTGTGTGTGTTTGTGTAATTCATCAAAATTTTAAGCTTATGTTTGTAGATGCTAATTAGGCAAAACTATTAGCTATGCCAGAATATCCATTACATAACTATAAAAATATTTTAGCTCAAACAATATGCAATCCAGCACTCCCTATTTGTTATTTAGGAGATTGTAACTATTGTCCAGGCACATTCTCAATTAAAAAAAAATAAGATGTTGTATTTGCCAAAAATGACATAGATCATTTATCCTTTAAACAGTGGATGTCTGTTGATAGAAGTAATCTGGAAACAATAAATTTAATTTTTTTTTAGAAAAAATTACACCTATGTTACTTCATTCCTTATATTATTATTAAAATTAATATAACGCCATCTATATTATCCTTTTTTATTTAAAAAAATTTAATAAAATTAAAAAAACAAAAATGGCTATCGAGATTTTTCATTAAATAGTTTAATATAAAGGTAATAAACATTTTTAGAGAGTATCAACACCAAAAAAATATCCCTTCCCAGGAATGTTAATTTTTTATTTTTACCGGAAATAAAAAACACTTAAATTTTTTTTATTTTCCAATGTAAAATTTTAAGGGCTATAAAATGATATATTATTTGTAATTTTATCTTAAGTATTTTTTAAGAAAAACAAGATTTAAATCACGCATCATGCGATTCTCTACTTTGAAGGTGTATATCTTTGGATTTGGTTGAGCTAGCACTCTAAAATTTAGAATTTACAAAAATATACAAAATAAATAACTATCATGCCAAGTTTCGTTTATTTTAAAGATGGTCGTCCAAAAATCGCGTTTTTTTGGTCGATTTGACGTGGAATGACCCCTATACCATAACATAAGTCATTTAAATATTATGATCAGTTATACATGAATCTAAAAATATATAAAATATTTTTATTGATAAATCACTTTATATGATAATATTAATCTATTTACATAAGTATCAAACAAATATATGATAAATATTTGTATTGAAAATACATGGTCTGTATTGAAAATATATTTTCCATACAAAAAGAGAGGCAAGGGTTGCTCAGCAACCCTGTATTAGATTTGATGACCCTAAAAATTTTCTAATTTGAGCAACCTAAAAAAACTGCATGGTATTCTTTACTTGATGCTGAAAAAATATTTGAAATCTTTTATGCAACCTTAATTAGTTGATCAGAGCCAGTGATGCCACTGATATTGAAATATATTTTACTACTTCTATATATGCTATTTGAATTGAGATGGTAAACTAAACATTGTTTTTTACATTTTTTTTTACCATAATATAAATTTATACTCTAAAAAATAAAAACACTACATTATAATTCATGTGTTCATTTGCATATATTAGAAATAAGATAAGTATATATATTGTCTAAAAATGATTAAAAATAAATAAATCTAATTTTTTTTAGGAAAAGCTCTAAACCTCACATGTTCCTTGCATCTTACAAATATCTGATTAAGTCTATATTTTATATAAGTTGGGGTAAATATTTTATCAGCATTTGGATGTTGTAAATCAAAATGTAAAGAGGAATTCAAAGCATGGACTCCAGTATCTGTCCTACTGCTTCCTCTAATTTGAATATGGCACTCAGGATTTAATAAAGTTAATGCTGACTTAATAATCTCTATTATAATGTGTAATTATTGTGTGATACTTTAAAAATTCCAAAAACACTTCTTAATAAGTCATTTTGTTTTTTAAAAACTTGTCTTTGAAAGCCACTATATTAAAATTAGAAAATTTGTCATAATAACTTTTGCTAACTAAAAATAATTTCCATTATAAGAAATATAAATCAAATATCTTATGGGAAGGCCAAAATTATTCATAAAAATAAATGTTTATTATATATAAAAGAATTGCTCGTGACAGACACTCAAATGACATCTATCATTCAAGTTGTAGCCCTATTTTATATATTAAGTTTCCTCGAATCTACTTATTATAGAACTGTCTAACAATACTTATTAAGATATTATATCAAAAATAGATTAAGGCTGATGGGTAAAACAACTTTGGACCTAACCTTAATAAATAGAAGATATACTATTATTACTTTATTCATTGAATATTTCTGTGTCCTTTTTAATAATATCAGGTATGAATTTTTCGGTTTTCTCCCGCTAACTTATAAATAAATGATACAACCAGCAGGAAACAGTGTAGCTCTTGAAGAACTAGCTCTTAACTTTCAGGATTGGAGGGATAGATGGTACACTTATTGTAACGTCCTGACTATACGCACCAACTCCCTGTTTGTGAAAAGGTCGTTATGGTTGGTCGTATGGGGAATGGAATATATTAACTTTTATTATATATTGTATTTTGTTAAAGCTACAATTTATTGTAATCAGGCGCGTACGCAGCAGGGGGGGGGCAAGGGGACAAATACCCCCCCCCCCCTTCCAATGTCAAAAAATGCAGATGCCGGATAATATTTTTCAAAATATATTTGTTTATTTGTTAATATTTATTCCTATCTCATATATATATTTAATTACTTTATTTATCACATTCATCTACTAAGTTATTTTATCAATTAATTTCGATATTAAGTTTTCCTTAGCGTAATATTTACCTATTGTTTCAAATTTCTAGTAGCGTGGAGTTTATCTAAATTTCTAATCAAATAATAATTATTTCTGAAACTCCTTGTCCAGGGAGAAAGAAATCGCAAACTTGTCCAACGAGATCGAATCTCAGCCATCAAGCAGTAACAGCTATCATAGAATTAGAAGGCCCGATTATTAATGCTTTTACTAAAATAACATAATGGCTTGAAAGAAATATTTTCTCGGAAGCAAGAAAATTATTGGATTTAATACTTATTCCAAATTTTTTTCTCATTAGAATGTATTATTTAATTATATAACTATTTTATGTAATACTTTTCAAAAATATGACATGACTTGATTAAGAAGATGAGAATAGCACAGAGCATTTTTTAGAACTCAAGGAAATTAGAGCTAATGTTGATGAAGAATTTTATATTTTATATGTTATTGTTGAGTCAAAAGCAGAGCTATACTTGTTTAATATTTGTCTCCCTCGACTTGCAGCAAGACAAGCTCATCGTCAAAACATTAATATAGCACCAGTAGAAGAGTATTATAAAACAAATATTACCTCTCTTAGATGTATCTATAACCCAAATAAATGAATGGTTTTTATTTTATCATGCAGGACCTACTAATCTGCAGATATTACTTCCACAAAAGCCTTCCCAACTTTTTTCAGATGGTGAAAAAATGAATATTTGTTAGATTTTTATCATGAAGATGTTAAAATATCTTATGATACCATATTAGCTGAATAACTATGATTAAAAGATTAACTATGGTTGATATAGTCCTAAAAAATGCTGTTGATGCTTTGCATTATTTCAAACATTTTAAATTATATTCCCAATGATTGTTATATATATATTAGCAACTCTCCCCATTTGTAAACTAATGAGAGAACATTCTCTTTTTTAAGAAGAATAACAGAGTCCTGCAAAGGTACCATTTGCAGGGCACGGCCCGGATTTTTTTTTCAAAATTTTTTTCGGTCAGGCCCGGGTTTTTTTTTAAATAAATTTTTAGGCCCGCCCTGAATTTTTTTTTAAACAAATTATATTTATTTTTTACTTTTATAGCTAATAATGGCGATTTCAAATATTTAATTTTAAATATACAGCCCGGCCGGATATTTTTCTAAAAAAAAAATCTCGGGCCCGGCCCGAGTATATTTAAAAAAATTTAAATACGGTCCGGCCCGAGGGTCGGGTCTGCAAGTCTCAGAAAAACAACCTAAGAAGTACAACTTCTGAAAGTAGATTGAATGGTTTGAATCTTTTGAATATTCATAGGCATTTAACGCCGCAAGGATGAGATAATTAAAAAATTAGCACAATCCCAACGAAGATTGGATTTTACATTGTAAATATATAACATACAAAATACAATTATTCCTAAGAAACTTTTTGTATATTAATTTTTATTTTCCAAAATTTAAATTTTTTATACTTTATATACAAATTTTAAAGGCTCAAAAAATTCAAATTTCTATTTTGGGTCATTTAAGTGATTCATATGGTGATTATATTCACTTTATATTTTATAATTTACATTTATTTTACAGTTTTTCAATGCCGCTAGTTATATCCGTTTAATATTTTTTAATTCACATTTATTTTATAGTTTTTTATATGTCGGTTTATATATATAATTTTTTTATAATTCACATTTTAAAATTGTGTATTAGAAACAGTTTTTAGTCCTAATAAATTTATGCTTAATATTTTTAACAAACAATAATATTTCTTAAAAAATTTTATTATCCCCCCCCCCCCCCAAAAAACCAAATTCCTGCATACGTGCCTGATTGTAATAGATTAAATAGATTTGTAAAAGTATATATTGATATATATTTTCTCATTTTATACATATAATATACATAATAAATACTATTTTATAAACACTACATTTGGAGACAATTATTTTTTTAAAAAAGAGACGTATTAAATATAATGGCCAAAATTTTACTATGCCTAACGAAGACTCGAAGAAAATATTTTAGAAGAAAAATGAAGAAACATCAACATCTACTCAATTCCATATTCCAGAATTCGTCAAAGAAAATGCGAATATTCAGGACTATGCATATAATTTAGAACTCATATTCAAAGTAAAAAATATTGTTTATCAAAATAAAAAAATATTGTTTATCAAAATAAAAAAAAAATTTGTTATTAGCATACATAGGTAGTGATAACTTAATTAAAATAAAAATTTTCACTACCCAATTAATTTAGAGAGCATTAATTATATAACTTGATCGTTTGGAGTTTTACATTTGCTCAAAATAAAAAGATGTAATATTTGAAGATCTTTTATTTTTAAAAAATTTTGAGCAGCGATCTTCAAAGATTTAGATCTTTGAAGATCTTTTATTTAAAAATATTTTAGATCAACGATCTTCAAAGATCTTCATATTTTATAATGTTATACTAAATTATTATTTTTATGATATTTTTTTTGAAGTAAATGGGTTAGTAAGCATGTTAAATTAAAATAAAAATTTAATAAAGATGTACCGACTTGGATAAAATATTTAAGAATATCACTAGTATTTTTCTACATCGAAATAATTTATATACTTGAGACGGTGAAACTATTATAGACTTTTCGATCAAATTGAAAAGTATTTGCTCATTATATAATTTTAAATCGCCGGTTGATGAACTTTTAATAGATATTTTTATCCTAGGAGTAGGACTGCCTGAGTTGGATAAAGAACTTTGGTCAAAATATACCTAAGACAATATCACTTTTGAAGATATGCGTTTAGCGATCGCGCTGTCTTCATTGGAAAAGGAAACCCAGGCTAAGTTAACAAAATAATTAAACATAAGCTGACTCAATGTTCCAAAAACACTTATAATAATAATTATAATAGCGTTAATAAATTCAATAATAATTATTATAATGCTAACAAATTTGATCAAATTAATTATATTTCTAATAATTATAAATCAATTAAACCTATTTTCATTCATACAAGAAAAATCATATGCTTTCAATGCAAAAAGGCAAACCACATAGCGAAAGAGTATAGAACGCATGACATACAAATGATTACACCACGGACACCCTGCCTGTCATTTCCTAATAAAGCTACCATATGCGATGATAAATAGGTAGTTTACTATGGAATTTGATACCGGTGCTGCGTGTAGTGTGATGGATGAGGTTACCTGGAGTCGCATAGGCAAACCATCATTATCACCAACATATAAACGTGCTATAATCATATCAAAATAGAGGTAAATGTATTTCGAAGTAAAGAATATTTCAAAATTTTTACCTATCTGGGTAGTGAAAAGTGAGAATTCATTTATTTTTAGAATGCCTTTCCTTAGAGAATTTGATATAAAACTTCAAAAAAAGTTCGGATTAATGATATAATTTCCACTTTAAATACTAATTCTTCGAGATTTCCGCAAGTTTTTTAAAAAAAATTAGGAGAAATAAACCTTCAACGAGGGGTTATCCACATATAACCGAACACATTACCGATAGCGTTACCGGCAATGTTAAAGAATTACGTTCGTTTCTTGATATTGTGAATTACCATGAGGCGTTTATAAAAAATTTACATTCTATTTGTGCTCCTTTGCACCAACTAACGAGTAAAAATGTTAGTTGGTTTTGGTCAGCTTAAGAAAATGATAAATTTAATAAAGTTATAAATATATTATCATAAGATACAATAATTCCTTATTCAACCGATATCCCTGTCATAATTTCTTATGACGTTTCCAAAAATAGTTTAGGAGCTGTTATTGCACGCTGATTTCTTACTGGCAAAATAAACCAATTGTCTACGCATCGAGGACACTGACTTCGGCGATAATGTCCGCTATCAAGAATTTCCATCACTATATTTATGGAAGACATTTTATATTGTATGGATCACAAACCTTAAAACATATCTTAAGTGATAAAAGAGACCTAAATAAAATTTAGAATAACCATTTAATATGGTGCGTGACGAAGCTTATAAATACGACTATTAGATAATTCATAGACCTGGTAATCAAAACAAATGTGCCAACACTCTGGCCCAGTGAAAAGAGTGAGAAAAAATCAATGAGGTTACAAAAAAATTGAAATCAGAGAAATAAAAATTAATTTAATAGAAGATTTATCATTCAATCGCAGTAAAGTCGTAAGTGAAACGGGCAATAATATTAATCTGAAAGAGATTATTAAATTATTTAGAAATCATTGGTATATAAATAATTATTCGGAGATTTAAAAAAAAATTATTTTAATTAAAAAATATT